TGATGGTAAAAGAATATGTTTGTAATAAATAAAACCATGATGAAAATGCTTATATTTAGTTTCAAACACACGTGTATGGCCTATATTATAAATAAGATAAGCCCTATGTCGTATTGTTTTCTATATGTTGAGTGGGGTGGGGTGGGTATGGTAAATTACTAACAGGGGAAAATAAATACCCAAGACCTCTGTTACGTGCCTGGTGTTAGCGCCAATGTGTGCCCTTGTGCGGACAGGGGATGTGCAACCCCTCTGAAGCTGGAAACCTTGTTTTTGCAAAATAAATTTATGCAATTTGCTATTATAGGCCTAATCAATAAATTCCTCATCAACCGATATAACCTTAAACATTCTTGGAATTGACATAACATTACTGATGTCGTACACACCCTTCAGTGTGAAATGTGGCTCTCTTTGCAAGGACATCTAACATCTAAGGAAAGAAGAGCTTAGATTGGTACCAAATAAAATAATTTTGTTATCAACATTAATACATTATGCTAATTTTCATCTTTGTAAGTGCATAAGACAGTGCAAATTATTTCTGTGACAGTCTTTTGAAGTGTGTAAAGCTCCATTTATCCCATACATAGTCAAAATATTGGGGGGGATGATACAATGGACCATCCTCCCTTGTCAAATATTGGGGGGGGGGATATATCCTCCCATCCCCCGGGATCTACGCCTATGCTGTTAAAACGTGTAAAAAACCTTTGGTAAAATAATGACAGAAGGAAAGTTTACCATTTAGCAGTTCACAAGAATAATGCATGATGTGTCTAATTTATTGATTTTTTATTATCATCTTGAAAATAAGAGACCAACAAATAATTGTGTATCATGAAATATTATACTACAGACTTCATGGTTAAGTAAAATTTTTGAAGTGAGCCCTCTATCAATGTAATTCATAACTTGCTGTTGAATAATTACATCGAGGCTGGACTTGATCACCTATGCCAACACTGCAACAAAAGCTACCACTCTAGAATTGGGCTTATTCTATAGCCATATTAGAAAATGTGTTTTCCAACCAAATCGGCAATCATTTATTTATTTATTTGTTGTTTTTTTTCTTCAGGATGAATTATGCATTATCTCTTGAGATAAACTTGACAATTAGTAGTATAGTATTGAATATTTTGGGGTGACATTTGATATTATTTAATTGAAAGTTTATAAATAACATTCTTAATAAGATACAGGTTTTTGAATATTTAAAAACTGGGAGAAAAGGTGGAAAAAAGGGTGGTTATGCCCCTTTTATTTGAAAAATTTAAAAATCTGTATCTCATTGACTGCTTTCAAGTTTTTCGTTATGCTTTTTGTGTCTTCAAAAAATTAGGTGTACAACATATATAAAAAAAAATTTTCCTCCCGAGCCTGGCTTTAAGGAAACATATTAAAAATTGAAAGACATAAATTCATAAAAAATATTGTTGTAGTGATATTTTAATAGGGAGCCCTCTATCAGCATGAATACACATTGACATAGAACTTACAATAAATAATTGGGTTTTTTTTCTATAATAATTCATGGCTAATTGTATAATAATTAATTAATATATCTAATAAAATAAGAACGTATTATAAAAATCGAAGACATTTATTTTATAATAACCTTTGTTGTAATGAACATAAAATTGTATCTTGAATCGTTGATATTTTGATAGTGGGCCCTCTATCAACTTAAATACCCACTGATATAGAACTTATTCTAAATACTTTTTTCTCTACAATAATTCATAGACCAATTGTGTAATAATTGATTAATTAATTAATCTAATAACATGGGAACATAAATAAAAAGCGAAGACATATTTTTGATTACTTTTGTTGTAGTGAAAATGAATTTTATCTTCAATCTTGATATTTTGATATTGGGCCCTCTATCAACACAAATACCCATTGATATAGAACAGTAATTGTTGCTCTTTAGGTTTGAGCAATCTACCCTCATAAATTTCCCCTACCCTTAGCTAACATACTGTTACCCACGTACACCACTCATTATAAACTAATACTATTTCAACAATGTTTTGCGAGGGTGGCCCTTCCAGCCGAAACTGAATTTTTTGGAACCTTAGTGCACCAGCAACACAAGAAAATACTGAACAATACAAAAATCTATTATTTAGAATGCACACTTAAAATGATAAAAAAATGTAACCAGAACTTCAGGAAGATAACATAATCAGTACTGCAGCCGGCCAACTGTAATGGAGCTTTCCATGATCAAATTTCTGAGAAAGAAGAAATTTGACAGTGTTCTATTTTCAGAAACAATTGATAAAGATTCTAATTTATCAAATGCATATGATAAATTGTATTGAAGACTAGGCTATTCAATATTGAAGTTAATTAAGATTAATATTTTGATGAAGATGCATTTGTTACTTTATCTTTGGCTGTATGCAACAAAATGTCTCCACATACATTCTGATTAACCATTTTATTAATTAATTGCTTTGCTTTTTTTTTTTTTTTTTTTTTTTTTTTTTTTTTTTTTTTTTTTTTTTTTTTTTTTTTTTGCTTTTTTTTGCTTTTTTTTTGTATGAACGTAGCATGAATAGAGTAATAATATGTTTTGACATGGATTAGAATTCTATATGAAATACACAAAAAAACAAAGAAGAAGAAATCCTCATTGTCAAGGGTCAAAATTGAAAGATTGGTTTACGAAGTAATACATACAGTAGGTCTATACTGATATTCACTGGATTAAGGGCAGAAAATTCCCCTTAATAGGGGTGTTCCCTCAATAGGGATGTCCCAAAAGAGGGGTTGTACTGTATTTTAATCAGATTAGCAAAGCATAGGTACCAGTGATTTTTTTTTATTTACCTAAACAGAAGGGCTAACTTACCAACTGAATTAATTGGTTAATCGTGTTGAGTAAAGTATATATTTCAGGCCTGTACCACGGACTATTTAAGGGATAGTTTTCTAAGAGAGCTAGGGTCAAGAGTACTTAGATGCCCTAATCAAGTCCTGGGGGCAGAGCTTTTGTGGGATTAAGGGGGTGAATCCCCTGTAGCTGAGGTTATCTAGGCGTAAATGGTGAATTTCATAATTTTGGTCGCTTGGAGTGGATGGCTTGGTTTTTTAAGGGGTGGGAAGGGGTTTGCTCGAAAAGGGGATACTGCCAAATAATAAAACTCCCACAAATAGGTATCATTCCTTTTTTTTTTTTTAATCATTTTTGCTAATTTTGAGTGACTGGATATTTTAAAAACAATTAAACTTTTGCCATAATTAGTCCAGCTGTCTTTGGTCTGGAATATTGTATCTGTAATCATAATTTAGCTGATTGCATTTCCTGGGCAAAGGATTATATAGTCATTAGTGTTGGGCTGCTGTAGAGATTTGGTCAGCAAGATAATTCAGTGTTATTAAGGGCTTCAATTTGATGGAAATTTCAATGCCATTCACTTAATATCAGTAGGCCTATTAACCTTGTTCAATCTGCCTTAATTGAGTGGCAATTTATTTAATATTATACATGGAATATGTAACTTTGTTAATGGTTTCTTAGATTATGAATAATTTTGTAATGTGAAGCACCATAAGCAATGTAAGCAATCATGTACATCAGCTATGTACATACATCAGCTGAGTGGCGAATCTTGTAAAACACTGTCATCAGATGATCAGTGGAATCCAGCTGAGGTACTCGTGCTGTATGGGAGGATAATTGCTTTTACTCTGTGTATGATATATGGAATTGTGACTGTGAGAAGGTCATACTAAACAATGACATTGTATCAGTGATACTCTAGGTGGCTGTGTCACACGAATTCAACATCACAACAGCATTCCTGAGCAACTGAGCATGTGATCATTTTTTCTGGATGACTGCATATCTAGCTTACCATACAGACTTTAAAACTTCACTCTTCAAAGTCATGAATATTCAACGATCAGCAGGGTGTGTAACTGAAGACCAGCAGTATACTTGTGAATGACTTCCTGATCCAGAGAGTGTCTACCAGCAGAGTTCCGGGATCTTGTTTTCCGGTGGATCTAGGCCATACACTTGGTGAATCTCGTTGAGAAAACTTCTACTGGCTCTCTGGAGTACTGTAGATTCACAATTAAAGAGTTTTTCGAAGAAGAGTGGTCTAATTCAGTGATTATAATTTCCAGTTATAGGACACTATGGGAGATGTAAACTGTAATGAAGACAATTCATCCGATTCAGATAACAATGCTGATGCTACCACCAGTAGGCAAAGTTTTGTTTTGTCTTTTTGTTTATACGTAGTGAGGCATACCATGCCTAAGATAATTGTAGAATTTAAGAAATGGCAGTATAAAATAAGTTAATATTTCTTATATTTTTAAGTTTAATATATGTCATTAAAGCTACTAAATTGTCTACTTTCAATAAGATATTGGTACAATATAATTGCGTTGTATGCTAAATAGCTATTGTTAATATTTTATATTTCTGTAGTGCAAAATACCAAACTACATTAATGTTAAATACAATATTTTAATTGGTATCTATATATAGATATAGCCTTTCATACAATTTGTGTATGCTAATGTTTATCTGCAAAGAAGCATTGTGCTTGCACTGAATATGCTCAATTTTTAAAGCTGTTCATATTTTTTAATTTACTGTATATAAGCTTAAATAATAATCTTTTTATTTACATTTTTGTTTCACACATCATTTACAGACTTTTCAATATACTAGGGTTTGTATTGAGTGAAGAAATTTAATTCAAATTTATGTGCGATTGTGTCATTGTAAATCTTAAAGGATTCTCCAATCAGTGTTTGAATCTTCATGTTGATTTAATTTCGTAATCAATTAGACTTTGTTTACATATAGGGAAATTGCTGTTATCCTGTCGGTTCATACTATTACTACATATGTCTGTATAATTTCCATACCGATACCAAGGTAGTTTGCTGTGTTGGTATGGGTGCGGGGGAGCGTACGAAAATTGAGAAATTGAAATCCACCTACTTTAGTGGAAATAATTTACCACCATGAGTGGTAATCGCGTTAAAACCCTGCATCCCCCATGGATGCATTTTACTTACTAAGTCTTAGTATTCTATTTAAGTGAATGATAAAACTGTATATAGTCATAACAATGGAAAGAATACATGGTTTATGAAAAAATGAAATTGATTAATTAAACAATGGGAATTTATAACAAAACTTATTTATGCAGACAGTTAAGCCCACTGATATCACAGCAATGTTGCTTTCTCCATGTGGTATTACAAAGAATTTTGTTATCATAAATTTATGATTCATTCAATTTGCCGAAGCTATCAAAGCAACAGTATATTCCTTAGAGGTTATAAGATTTTCCAGTCTTTTTTTTTTATTTTTTTATCTTTTGTTGAGTATGGGTACTTTTCCAAGAGGTACAAATGTGTTTGTTATTATTTTTTTGAGGAGGAATAGTTGGCCTGAAAATCAATCATGCATTGATAATTCCTTTCAACCATAGACCTATAGTCAGAATGATAGCTGTCCTCCATCTACAGGATGGGGTCAAGTACATTATTGAAAATGGGCTGGTATAATTAAACTTAACTAGGATATAATCAAGTGGAGAGCTTTCTCATAGATAGATGTCATAATTATATTTCTGATCCTTCTATGTCTGTTAAAAATGTAAATATCCTGATCTTTCTATCCTTAATTGGCTCTTTTTTAAATTAAATATAATAAAAATGTTGCCCCAATCCTTCAGGTATATTCAAACGTAACTGGATTTTATGGTTAATAATAATTTAATAATACAGTATACTGCATAGGTTTTTTTAATATAACGCCCAATAATAATCTCTCAGAGCGCTGTTATATTCACAAAAATTAATAAATAAGTATCTTTGATTCTTGCGAAGATGAGTGTTTACATTTTTTGGTATGTAGGCCTGGTTAGAATTTTGTATGGTGGTAAGGCAAATTAGATAAGTTATCTCATACTCTTTCCTCAGTGGTAGACAGTAGTTGTTTGTAGTTCCTATATTGCGGTCTAAGAATGCACATGTTTTACCATTTTAAACCATAAAATCTTGCCTTAACAGGTGGCCCTTGTTTTTAGGACCCCCCCCCCCCCCTATTTCGGAAGGTTTCTGGAAACGTTAACAGTTTTTTCCTCTATAAAAAAAATACAGATATTCCTAGTGTGGTAAATAATAATTGCTAATAATTGAATGTTAAGTGATGGTGTAAGTGATGTTTATAGTCTTGTTGAAGGCTCTCTCTGTTGATATAAGTAGGTCTTTGTATTATTGAATAGCATGAGAATCACCTCAAGTCATGAAATACAAGAATAATCAATCCCTTCTCTGTTTACCGTTCTTTCTGGTTTCCATTGTACTGTACAGTATTAATTTGTCTTTCAAAGAACTGTTAACCTCATACACTGTCCTTCTATACATTGTTTATTGTCACATTATAATACGTCTTTGTTAAACTATTTTTGTTATTAGTTGGTTGTGTTAGTTTGACTAGTAAGCCCTCATAATTTCAACAATAATTATCATCCCAAATAAGAAAGTATAATACATACTCCAAGTATTGAAATACACGCCATCGTGTTGGGATTCAATATTTCGACATTAATTATGTCATCATCAATTATCATCCCATTGTCATAATAATTTTCACTATTATTTCCATCATATCATTGCCATCACCATTATCATCATCATCATCTTATATCATTATTATCATATATTATCATCATGAACCCATCATCATATCATTATTACCATGATAGTCATCATATCTCTTCATTCATCATTTGGCGTCATTATAATTACTGTATTTGTTGATGCTATTATCATTATCATTACTGTACATTTGGTTTGTAGTCCATGCATATATAATATTGAGGATTAAATGGACTAATACAAAACAACTCTTCCTATTATTTTAATATATTTTATTTAACCCCATCCACATTTTCCTAAACCACACTTCTTACCTGCCACGCTAATTGTGATGTTGAAAATCTTGATAACATTTTTTAATTGGATTTGTTTATATGAGTTTTAATTGATGAATTTATTTTATTAATAACTTTTACAACATTTGAACTCACTGAAAGAAGAACAAAGATCAATAAAATTTGACCTCGAACAAGGTCATGGCCACCAGGAAGTGCCTTCCATACCCATAGCAACAAGGTTTTAACCAGTATCCAGAAGTAATTCTATCTAGAGGCCTATGATAACTTATAATTTTCTGCTTGGTGTGGTCATTTGAATACTTAGGCAAATTGTATTTCCTCGTTATTTATTACAGTTTTATTCGATTAATTAATGACTCGTTCGATTATATCACCTTTAAGTTAGCTGTGTGTTAAATTATGCCATGCAAGCCCGTAGCCATGTCATTTCAAGGAAGGTTCTCTGGGCGTGGGATCCAGAGGTCTGCATAAGCCAGAGCAGTTTTTTGTGTTTAATGGGTCTATATAATGTTATAAAAGCAGTTATGTTTTGAAAAAGATATATTTAATAAAAAGGTGGTAATATAATAAAATTAGAAAATATTTTCTGATAATCGGCATGTTTAAATTACACCGAAAGAACCTCATCGCATTATGAATATCAATATACTTAACACATTTATTATTATAAAACAAAAGAAGCTATTATATATAAAGTAATTTACAAAGAATTATGTACTGTGCTTCTTTATAATATATAAAACATTTAAGAAGTGTTGTCTTGTTTTAACTTAAATAATGAATCTTCCCGTATATAATCAAATAGTAGCTGCCTGTTGCAAAATAAAGTAGGAGCTGAACTTCTTCTTGACTCTCATCTTGTACACTGAAAATAATAGTACTATTTTTAGTATATGACTACTGACACAGGGCCATCGTTAAATTAAGTCAGAGCCCAAAATATAGCATCATTCAATATGTCATCTGACATCATGGAAACCTAAACTTTTGCAATTATTTGCTATATACTAGGCCTAATTCGAAATTATTATTTTAAGACTTTAACCTAATACATACTGATTAATAATAGCCGAGATTTGATGCACATTTCAGAATTAATAATCGTTTTTAGTATATCTTACTGAATATTTATTGTCTACCAAATGAAATATGAATTATATATGAAATACAAAAAAGTCATTTATTCTACCACGTTTTATGATACTTTATCACTAAAAATTAACAATCACTCGTTTTGAAGCACTCCGTTTCTGTCTGCTGTTGAAAACAAACTTCCTAATTTTGTGACTGGCTATGATGACTGAGATGGACCATGTTGATTTATTAATAATATTTTGTTTGGGATGGAAAAAAGGAGAGTCAATTTCTCAAAAATGTTCCATCAGCAAATAGTTTAGTGTGAGCTATGGACAGTATGGCTATGGTATTTACTTAACACACAATCCACAATCAGGTCGCAAAACTTTAGCTGCATTTGGTGGATTAAGTCGCAAAACTTTAGCTTCGTTTGGTGGTGCCATTTACTCTAGGTAGACGGTGACCGGTTTTGTCACCGGTTGGTACATTTCTTGCAAACATTCAGCCAATGGCCAGTGAAAGTTGAGACGGCAGCCGGATTTTTATCGATGTTTGCCATCCTTAATTTCTGAAGCTGAGATATTCTGTGAATGTAGGCTTGTATCACAGGCTACAATTTACAAACGGGTGACCAAATAATTAATTTAGTCCTAAATTTTGATTTAATGCTGGGTAAGTTAAAAACAGACATTCCGTCCGAGTAGGACTCATTCAAAAATTTGAGGGGGTTCGCTAGAAAAGGGGGGTTCGCCCGAACCATAAAAAAAATCCCAAGCAAAAAATTTAAAATAATTATTTAAATATAATAAATGATAATAATTTACAGTAAGTAAAATAGACAACAGGCAGTGGAAGACTCAAAATTGAGTACTTTGTTTTGTGGAGAATATTCTTTTATTACCTACCATCTTCAATTTTATTATGTAGGGGAAAAAAATGTATAACCATACATCATATTCACATGTCTATAATGTACTTCACTGTATCCAACTTTTTGTTTGGTTATACAGGAGTTAGTACTTTGCTGGTGGTTAATAATTGTGTTAATCTTTAGCTGTGTTACTTCCAAGTAAACATGCTTAAATGTATTATCCTCTTTGACCATCAGTGATTTTCAACAAAGTAAACAAATTATGACTAGAGTGGCAGATGACTTCAAGAGTATGGTGAGCCCACAATGTTGTACTATCCAAATATCCTT